AAAAGAAATATGTACATAGAGAGTTCTTCCAAAAGAAAGGATCCAAACAAAATTAACCCTCACAAAAAAATCTACACATACAACCTTCTATCATCAAAATAACAAATCTCAAAAGAACCTGCCGCCCGTCGTCTCTCTATGACGGTAAGTGCGCGGTGGTTGGTCTGCCATCTATCCTTTCCTAGATCCTCCTGAAAAGTGTTCCCACAACAAGGGTGAGTCATAACTCAATAGGTGCGAATGGAGTTTAAATAAAACTTAGAATCAAGAGAAAAAAACTATAGCATGCTTAGATATTTTAACAAAAGAATCATCAACATAAAACAACTTTTGCTTTAAGGAAATGCATACCTTTACCATTACCTTCAAATGCTTATTCCTTCCATAACATTTGCTTTCTTCTTTTTTTTTTTAAAACATTGTGCCTTAATTGACAATCTCAAATGCATATAACATGAGTATGAAAAGTTCATAATAGTTTAATATGAAAATATAACACCCGTCTCGGAAGTATCACTTGTACTGATCAGGTACATAAAATTAGCCATTCCTTTACCATTGGTTCATAAGAACCATTCTTTATCATGGCTCATAAGAGCCTCCTTTACCATTTCTCAAAGGAGCATCCTTTACCATGTGATACTTCCGCGTCAACATGCACATACACTTAATACTTTCATAATCATAAGAGATGCTTTATGTAACTATTCATAAACTATGCAAGTGTATGTTTCCATAGGGATATGCATGCTTGTTATGGTCATGTGTGCATTTGCATGTAAAGAGGAAAAACATGTGTGGTAAGAGTAAATAAATGAGCATGGAATTCATTTATGAGTTGTACATTTGCATAAAGAGAACATTTGCATTTGCTTTAAGTGTCCATGAACTTACAAGGGAACATGAGCCATAAAAGTTTCATAATAAGCATAAAAGAATTTGTCATTTCTATGTAATCAAATGAAAGGAGAGTCGTCTAAATTTATAAGAAAGCCTATTCCACCTACCTCAATCCGTGCACCTCTTTCGTTTGCCCGATCAAGTCCTTTCCTTCCACACGGTTAAAATCTAGAAGAGACATACAAAAATGTATAAGTAACTAGTCTCTACACATTTTTCTAAATCCTTAATCTAAGGTAATAAAAGGATTCTTTCTAATGTCATAACTACGCTTTCAAGTTAAACCCCTCCACCATTTATGATATCTCTCACTCACATTCTCTCTAAATTAGGGTTTAGTCAAAAACTCTTAGGTTTTAAGCATGCCACACCTCTCCTTACACTCAAAACATAAATAAAATATCTTTAAATTTCGGAATTTATTAAATAAAAAATTAGGAAATCTTGTATTTCAAATAAAATCCATAAATTAGCCTCTAAAATCCTCCCAAATACTAATAAAAATCATAGGGATAAAAAATTTCTTAATTAGGGAAAAACCCTAAATTTCAAAACTCAAAACTTTCATCATTCTTACATTATTCTTCAATTAGAAGCTTTCCGATGGCATTAGGAATTATTCTTAAGAAGGCACCCAAAAAAATCCATTTTAAGTAAAACCCTAAATTTCACCAACTCAAAATATTCTAAATAAAACCACATTCTTAGCATAAAAATATCTCCTAATCATTCCATAACAATCTCCCATTAAAATTCTTAAAGAAAATCAAAGTTTTCTCAAACCCTAGTTTTCATTTCTTAGAGAAAACTCAAGGGAAGGAGGAAACTCAAGCAAAACACATACCTTAGTCTTCCCTTGGATTTCCCTACGTACTCCTCCACGAATGGCCGCCGAAAACTGCTCCCAAGCTCACCGGAATCGCCTCTACCCGCGTGCTCCCCCTCTCTCGTTCGGTTTGGGCCGCACGAAGTGAATGGGGGACCGAAATGTTTTGGTCCCCTATTTAGAATGGAAATGTTCTCATAATTGCACAATTTACCTATGTGCCCTCACTTAAACTCTCCTCCCTTCAAAGGTTACCAAGGGCAAAAATGTCATTTAGAACTTTCCGGAAATTTTAACTCTCAAAATACTCAAAATCCGATATATGTTCTATACATCAAAACGATCAGAATTTTGCGCTCTATTTTATAAAATTTATTGTGTCGAATTCTGACGACTTTGAAATTTTCACTTAAAACTCGTCGTGGCGCTTTGAAAAGCGTGCGAGGTCTAAAATGGCATTTTGCGGGTTTTACAACTTATATGATGGATGACTCCTTGGAAGAAGTTACATCAAAGTCACAAAACCATGAGTGATGGGACATCGGAGCTTGGAAAGTCTATCAGAGATATGGCCGTCGATCTACGGCCACGAACGAGTCGATGTATTTTTGAATCATATTATGTATTTGTCTACTATTATTTTATATTTGTATTTGCTTTTGTTACTTTTCACTTTTACCTTTTATTAAAGGGAGGTCATGTGTAAGCTCAAAGGGCATTGTTGTCTTATACTTTTTGAGTCCTTTGTATGAGGCTATTTATAACTCTTATGTTTCTCTTCTCATTGTCAATGAATGAATGATAAAAATTTTTCATTGCTTGAGTTCTTTGTGAGATCTTGAGAGTGCTTGGGAGAGAAATCCCTAGGAGAAGGAAATCGGATCACCCACCTTGGAGATGGCCGGGTTCGTGGTTCTTCTTCTCTATCTCTTTTCCTCTTCCCTTCGTACCCTAACCGCCAGCCACCTAAAACCCCTCTCACCACTCAAGCTGCCGGCCATCTTAACCCCACCCAACCCCCACCTCCCTCTCCCACAACATCACCCACGACCAACCCATAAGCCGCCAGCCCTCCACTTGGATTTCCCTCCATCGCTTGCAATTACCTCTTTCTTAATTGGGTACGAATATTTTAGGTAATTCAATTGCTTTGCAATTCGAATTTATTTGAATTTGAAAAGTTACCTAAAATACCAATCCTATTTTAGGAGAGTTTTCAAATCCTTTCTTATTTGATTTTAATTTAAATTGGGATTAAATATTTCTTCCCAAATTTAATTCTTTAATTTAAGGAAGCATTAAAAGCTTCCTTAAATTCCTCCCCCTCCATTAAAAGCCGCCAGCCCCTAGTGGATTCCCCTTGGGATTTATTTCCTAAACCCAAGATACTCTCTAGGAAATAAGTCAAACCTTCTCTCCACCTTGTTTGGCTGAAATTTCCAAGAGCCCCCATCTCCTTACTACTTTCCCAAAATCTCATATTAAGTTTTGGAAACAAATCCCAAGCCCACTCTCTCTTGCCGTTGCCCCCTTTCTCCCTAATCTCTCTCCCCACTAATTTTTCTCCCCTTTTGGAATTAATTTCAAATTCCAAAACCTCTCCAAGGTAAAATATGAAATTAATTTTAGATTTTAAGTTCTCCTCCCTCCCAAAGTCTAAACCTAATTCCCCACACGTGGTTCCTCTTCCCTTGGCCGAACCATCCTCCCCTTCCTCCTTTCCTTAAGAATAGAAAAGCCACCTCCCCTTTTCTCTACTTAAAGTCTAGAGAGAAAATTTTCTCCCTAGTGAAGTCTCCAAGGTAATCAACATTGATCTTCGTCTACACTCCATTCTTTCAAAGTCAATGAATGGCCGATCCGGAGCTTGACTACGGATTCGTTTACGACGAACAAGGCAACGTCAACATCCTCCACTCTACCTTCGATTTCAACCCAGAAGTTAATCGTTCCATTGAAGAATACATGAACCGCATCATCTTTACGCTTTCGGAGGCCATTGACAAGCAACTTGCCAACGTCCAGTGGCAAATCGCTTCCGGACCATCCCAAGGGTGAACTTTTTCCCCTTTTCATTTAATTTCCTAATCCACTAAGCTTGTAGGTGGTGATCAAGTCACAAGGAGCCGTGCTTTGCCTTCTGCCTTTGCTTAGTAAACGTAGGATTGAGTGTGCTTTCTATGTTGCTATCTTATTGTTAGATGAGGGATTTTGTTGAAAACTACTTATTTCGCTTGTTATTGATATTCTAAGTTATTTTAATAATCCAAATGTTTGGCATGTGATTTGGCCTAAGCGTAGCTACCCCTCTTACGTTTTCTTTTATCGTTTTGATTGCTAATAGTCTTAGTCATAATTGTTCTTATCAAAGTCGTGCAAGTTCTTATTGCATACAGTCAAAAGCATTGTAGTCCTACATCAATGAGGCTCTTATGTTAAAAGTTAAAACGGAAAATAATTTGATGACTAAGAGTTTGGGCTCTTAAAAATAGTATTAGAGCAATATACTAGTTTGAAAATAAGAACTAAGTATCATACAATGCAAAGTGCTACATCATGGGTGCAACCTCATTAACCCTTCTTGACACAAAGTGCTACATGTTTGGAGCCATTTCTTGAATGTATAGGGGTCACCTCTACAATTTTATTTGCTTTGTGAATGATTTTGGGTTAAGAATATTAACAAAGATGTCAGTTATTTAATTGAAGGAGATTGTAAAGCCCCTTAAGTGAAAGAAATCGAAATTCTTAAAACTCATAGGGCCTTTTGGTTAAATGATTTTAATTTAATTAGAAACTTTAAAGTTAAGTGTGCTTGTACAAGAATACACTTGGCTTGGGTGATGCATTAGTAAAGTTATACAAAGAAAACAAAACCATGACACCCTAAGGCCATGGTGGACGGTTTCTCGAAGTTTTGAGAGTTTCGGGATGTGTGGCAAAGTTATGAAGTATGGAATTAGAAATAATTATTTTAGATGCTTAGTCGGAGATTCTTAATACCCAATGCATCATTCAACATGGGAGAATGGAGATTGAGAATTGACAGAGCTGGCCTCAAATAGTTGGGAGAAGGCTAATGAAGTTTTTTTTTTTAAGCCAATGAAGATGATGATGATGTTGTTATCTCATGTCTTGGCATTTGTTATATGTCTGCCTGTTTTATCTTCTCAGCCAGCTATACCTTTTTTTGTGTGGCAATTCTATCTTTCTGAATGCATTTAAATGTCCTGTAGTATAAAGCTAACCGGAGTCATTCTTCTATTTTGCTTAGGTTCTCTGTGATGGCAAGTTGCCTTTTGTCGGAATGGCCGAAAAGGTTGAGCAAGAGTTATTTTGGAAGGTTTTATCCTGCTCCAGTTGCTTTCTGCTTGAAGGTTTTTCAATAGCATATTGCATTGTAAGGTCATTTTTAAGTCGTGCTTCAAACTTTTCAGGCTGAGCTTTCTGATATTTATGCGAGGCCAAACCTGTACAAGTTGCTTTATTCATTTCAAGCATCTCGTAACAACTGGAGAAAGGCTGCTTGCTACATTTACCAGTATTCTATTAGATTAAGAAATGAAGTACGTACAGATGATACGGGAAAGTTTTCTGCAGCCCTCCAAGAGAGTTTAGAGGGATTATCTGCAGCCATCAATGCACTGCAACTTGTGGATCATGCTTCTGCCTGGATTGACTCTAAAAACACGGATAGTTTTTCTACTGGTCATGGTGTACCGCATAAAAGAGCTCGAAATGTCCTTGAAGAAAAATGTATGAGGTCATTATCTTAATATCTTATTTCTTCTTGATTACATAATAATATTGTATTATCTCCAGCTGCTCTTAGTGATGATTTTCAATCTGAGAGGCTACAATACATTGTTGACATTAAAATGCTTGAAAAAGAGTACGTGCTAACCTCAGCCCACTATTTGCTTTCACGCGATAAGGATAAGTTTAACTCTTCAGGTATCGGATATATTTATTTAATACGTAGCCTTTTGGCTGCCATTCTAGCATCTACATTCTGAACTGCTATGTAACAACGTGTTTTGGTGTGCTACACTACAGGGAATCAGAAACTTTCACATTTAGTGGATATGCTGATCAAAGAAAATTTTTACGACATGGCTTTTACAGTTATTTTCACATTTTGGAAGGGTTCTACATTAAATAGGTATAAATCAGCTATCCATCCCAGCAGTACACTGATAAGAACTGTACTTTTCCGCATGATTTATATTTGGCATGCATTAGATAAGAAATGAGATTTTTTTTCACGCAGGGAACTTGAGCAGGCTTTTATCACTCTCTCAGAAAAATGTTTCTTAGGAGGAATAGTTTCTTCACCTTTCAGGTGAGTTTTCATGGTTAACTGTTGAAGATTTTTATTCATGGGCATCATTTTTAGTGTAGTTATCATCTTCTTTATTCCTGATATGTTTGTCTTGTAATTCATGCGCATATTGCTTAAAATTAGTTTCTTTGTTTTCTTCTTATTTTCATTTTGATTATATTTTCCCAGAAGCGTTGGGACAGTACATAACGTTTTGCTACCATCACCTGACGATGTAACACATATTGATGGGAGAAATATCTTGAGTTCTATGATCAATCAAATCAATGGAAATGGTCACTGGGAGACCCTTGAACTCTATCTAGTATGTACAATTTTCCATAATCTTCATATGTGCTCTTCCTCCTAATTTTTTTTATTCTTAATTTTATTGTAATTGTAATTTTTATTCGTGAAATAAAAATAGCCTTTGTAGTTTGCTGAGCCTTGAATGTCAAACTTGGAAGTCCTTAATTTGTTCCGAGTACATTTAGCTGCTATCGTTAATTTCTTATTGTGAAAGCTAAGTTGGTTAAAAATATATACGCCATCCATACAGGAGTTCCATCATTCTTTTATAGCAGCAATAATTAGTTTATGTATATTTTTACTTTTAAATTATGAAGAAATTAAGGGAAAATTTAATTCCATTGTCCGTCACATATAACTATTGTGCTTGGAAAAAAATGTTTGTGAACCAAAAGAGTCCTAAGTGCACAACCTTTCTGCAGATTGGAAAAAATTTTCATCTTTGTTTAGTATCGTTGAACCCGAACTGGGCCCTTGATGGGGACATCATATTTCGACACGTGTACCATCGCCGGAGACGCCGATCGACGGCCATGATTCAGAGCCTTTATTTTTGATGTTTTATTTTATTCATGTCATTTATATTTCATGTTTTTCCTTTTGTACCCCTTTGAGGGAATTAGTGTTTATTGTAGCCCAAGGGCGTTGTCGTCTTTATGTATTTTATTTCTAGATAGCCTATATAAAGGCTTTGTCATTGTATTTGAGATTATTATTGAATGAATGAAAATTTTCCATTATGTGATCTCTTTGTGAGTTCCAAGATCTCTTAGTGAGTTCTTAGCATGAGATCTCTTTGTGAGTTCTCCGTGTATTAGTTCCCTTGATCTTCGCCTCACCCACAAGCGACACCATCCACACCATCAACTCGGAAGAAGTCGGACCATCCCCCCCCTCTTGCCGCCGCCCCTAGACCCACTCGCCGACCACCCCAACTTCACCGGCCGGCCTCCTTGCCGTCGGTCCTCCTCCCCTTCCTCCACCACCACTCCACCTCCTCTTTCAACCCCTCATTGAAATTTGATTTTCAAGTTTGAATTTCTTTCCAAATTTGAAAATCTATTTTTGGAAAGTTTTCGAATAAATCCAAATTTTAAGTTAAGATTTTATTTGGATTTTATTTCAGAAATTTTCAAATCAAATTCTAAGTTTGGAAACCTTCTCCCCCTCTCCCTAACTCACTCTCTCTCTCCAACCAATTCGCCGGCCTCCCTAAAGGGAATTCCCATTAATTGAGCAATTAATTTCCCTCCCCCCTTGTTTGAAATACAAATTAATCCTAAATATCCTCTCCCTCCAAGTCATAAATCAAAACAAAACTGAAATTATTTTTAGTTTTTTTTTTCAAATCTCCTCCCCCCTTGCTCTACCGCCGGCCCCCCTTTAAGGCTCAAATAAATTAAAATTTATTGAAAGCCTTAATTACCTCTTGATTGGAAATTTGAATCCTAAATTTCCCTCCCAATTCCTTAAACTGAATTTAGACTTCAGTTCTCAAAACATAACCCTCTTCCTCTCACCCTTACTCTACCGCCGGCCTCCCCCTCCCCTCTCCAAACCGCCGCCCCTCTCTCCCCCTTTGGAGAGCCTCTTGCGGCGACCACCCTTTCTCACCTTCAAGAATGCATGGAGAAACCTGAGTGGAACTTCGGGTTTGAGTACGACAACCAAGGGAGAGTTAACATCCTCAGATCACCCTTCTTTGATGTAGGCTTTGATTTCGACGACACCGTCGAAGAATATTTGGATCGGATTCTACCAACATTAGTGGATTCCATCGATGACCACTTTTCCGTCTACACGTGGATCATTAAAGGTCGTCCTCCCGTGCCACCTCTTCCTCTCCTTCCCTACGGATCTACGGTACCGTCGCCCTCGGAGTGGTTTCATCACTTGTGTGGTTATTCTTCTTCCAACGAACCTAGAAGTAGGTGAATGAGCGTAGCCTCAAGGTGAGACAATCGCTTTGTTAACCGCCGGATTCTAGTTTGCTTTTCATTTGCTTTACTATTTATTACCGTCGTTATTTTATAGAACTTGCTAATTTAGGTGTAAACTCTTGCCTAAGCGTAGTTGAATTCTAAGATCTTTGAGAATGCTTCAATTTTGAACAACATTAAGATTGCAATTTCATTATTTGAACAAGATTTTATTAATCTTCTAAATCCAATTCCTGGTTTCAGATCATCTTGGTATCAGAGCATGGCTAGCATGGTTTGTTTTTGCTAGATGCATCTTAGGAGTCGAGTTTACCTTACCATTGGTCGTTTACATGCATAACATCATCTAGGTAATTTTATTCACTGTTTAACTTTGCTGTCCAATACTTTTCTGCATGCTATTTTCATTGTAAACGTTCATATTTACTTTACCTAAGTGTTGTCTTTGCCACTCACCACCTACCCAATCACCTAGGTCACTTACCACCCTAGAAAACATTGCTGTCCAGGACTTTTCCTGCACTGTTTAGTGACTTTTAGGTGCCCTTAAACCCTTGTCAAGTTACTGTCCACACTTTACAACCAACCCACAACACTTAGACAACTTACACCATCGCGTTAGGTTGCCATCCCTAGTTTTCCTGCAGCATATTGAAGCCTTAGGAGCGTCCTACCGTAGTGTGTAGGTGCTGCCCACCACCTCAACACTTCCCCGGTCAACCCATAACCTTCACCCATGGATCCACAACACCTCCAAGCTACCCTCGACCTCATTTTGGGCCAATTGGGAACTGTCACGCAGCAAATTCGTAACACTCAGACGGACCTAGCAGATTTTAGGAGATTAACCAGTGATCGGTTAGATAACATAGAGCGTATTGGGAACCCCGCAATCTATACACCTTCCCGACCTCACTCACCCTATGACGAGGATAACCGAGCAGATCATGGCCACCCTAGAGACCAGTACCGCCATAACCCAAGACCCCATCAAGACCCTGTAGGAGATGAGAACCCTTGGAGAGACAATGATGCCCAGTTGTTGAAAAACATTAGAATTGATGCCCCAACATATGATGGAACCCTCGATCCCCAAGTTTTCATGGATTGGCTTAAATTCATGGATAGTTACTTCAAGTGGTATAACATCACGGAGGCTAGGAAGGTTAGATTTGCAGAAATGAAACTCACGGGTCGAGCCAACTTGTATTGGACCAATCTAGAAAATATGCGCGAGGCTCGAGGCGAACACCCTATCACGGATTGGAGAACGATGAAACAAGAACTTAAGAGAAAATATCTCCCTTCTTCATACTACCTTAAGATCCTTGATAAATGGAATAGATTGACCAAGGGGAGCAAGCCCGTCAAAGACTATATCTCGGACTTCGACGATTTCCTGATCCGTTGCAATGGCGAGGAGCCGGCCACCCCAACTCAAATCCTGACCATGTTTAGAGCTGGCCTTAGGGAAGATCTGCGAACTGAAATTTTTGCTAGAGGAGTAGACTCGTTAGAGGCAGCCTGCAGCCTAGTTCTCGACCTCGAAGATTCTAAAACCCACTCCCAAACGAGACACTTCGACTCCCGTTCAAACTCGTATAGAACCTCATCTGGGCAACACCAAAACCGACCCTCGGGTTCGACTGCAAGCCGACCCACTGCTAGTTCGGCCCCACCTCGCACGGACCTCAAAAGTAAGACACCCCCGAACGAGACGCTTCCAAACCCAATTCTGGAATCAAGTGCTATAGGTGTCATGGGTATGAACACATTGCTTCGCAGTGTTCTAGTCCTTACAAGGTCACCATAATTGAAGAGGTGGACGAAGAGGAGAACGAACCTGAGACTGAGGGTGCGTTTGGGACGGCGGTAAAGTTGCTTTGCTTTATAAAAAGTTATTAAATGGTCGTTTGGGGGATTGCGGCAGAACGACGTCAGAAAA